GCTCTAGTAGACAAAATGCCAAACTGGCAACAAAGTCAAACAATCAGGGGGTTCCCCGTAACCAAACACGCTGTTGAGTCAGATTTGCCCAGTGAGCCTCGGCAAGGTCAAACAGCTGCAACAGAAGCAAGGGTGAAGCACCATTGCAACTGGAGCAAAGCTCCTTTTCCATTGTCAGTACTGGCAACTATCCCTTCAAGCACCTGTAACTGCAGATTGAACTCCTTCAACCGGTCTGCTTTGCTCAGAAAAGCCAAGTGACGTGTAGCAACGGTCAGGTCACATCCACACTCAAGCCCAGCACCTGCTTAATGCTTTCCTGGTTTTCCTTCAGAGAGCGTCTTCCTGCCGCATAGAGGCACGAACCAATAACAAAGGATGGTCACGTTCCAGCCTCATTTGTACCACAAGGACTCTTCCAAGCAAGGAATTCATCAAATGACCGCTTGTCACCACACACACAGAAAGCAACATGGGTACGGGAGATAATGGTGCTTAGGGATCACAGCCTTCCTGGAACCCCAACAAGCCCCACACAGCAAACAGGCAAAACATCTGTGAACCCCATCCATCTCACTGGTCCGCATTTTTTGCGAGAGCTACTGCTACTGCAAAGCATCAAGCATTTCCAGGCTTTTCGGAAACGGGCAAGATGAACAGTCATAGCAATGGCATGTGGATCAGATCCGGGCTTGGTGATGGCTTCAAAATGTTCTTTCAAAGCCGCCGCATCTTCTGGTTTCACCACTGTCTCCCCAGCAACCTTGCTGATGGCTGCCCAGACATGAGCATGAACAGGCCCGAGATCTTCGATCTTCTTGTCATTGCCATTGGCTACTTTCATTTTGTCCACGTGGTTTCTCGCAGCATCAGTACCAGCACTAGCAATCGTGCTGTCCTTGGGAATTTGTGCACAAACACTCTTCCAAACAAGGAATTCATCACATGACCATCCCTTGTCCGCACACACTCACACAAATACACGCACTCATCGGAACCCTGGCCTACGACCAGCGCAAGCCTCTCAATGCCTGTGCCTGAACACGCCAGGCTTTGGCAATGCGCTCAACCAAGTGATCGAGTCAAGTTTTTGCATCTGGATTGCAGCGAATCATCCAGGTTAAGCCCCTCATCCCCCTTAAGACACTTCAAGCGTCAAGGAGGCCTTGAAACTACCATTTGCAACCGCCTGGCTTCTGGGAGGGGAGAGGCAATTTCAGCATGCAGAGTCACAACCTTTAGTTTGAACGTAACGAAGAGCTTGTCACCATGAGCACACCCAGCGGCCGGTCCAAGCCTAGTCCACTGACATCATGGTCCCAGGTGGCACGGTGGCACAAGCTGCATTAGCCTTTAAGCTGCATTTACTTTCCCACCAATGATGGCCGCTTGGAAGCTTCGAAGCCCTCTGGGCGGTCCGGACCCCGAGATCCTTGAGGGAAGCAAACGCGCGCCCAACGCTGAGCACTGTGTCTCCACATGTAGTTTGAAATCAGCATCGGACATCATCGGACACCGGGAACCCAGACTTCTTGACAGAAATCCTTAACGCAATGTTTTCAACTTGGGAACTCAACATCTCATCAAGATCAACCGTCCACTTTGCAAGCTTGGAGGGATCACTACAGACCAGTTCCCAGGACAAATCATCAATCATCATCATTCCAGTTGGCACTGTCACCTAAGCTCATTCATGAACTACGCCCTGGAAGGATACCCTGGTCTAGGCAAATTGGCTCAGGGTGCATGCTGCTTGTCATCAAGACACATGCGCCATCTTGGCCGTGCAAACGTCTTCAGCTTTGGTCAGGACTCAATGGCCAGCACATCTGCGACATTCTGGTGCGAGTTTTTTCACTGGATTTTCGCGTGGCCTGAAATTCGTGCCCATCATCATTAGTAAAAGGAAATGAAACCAAACCAAGGACCTTCATGGCATAGAATGGCGGCAAGCATGTTACAAGAGGCAAGAATGGAAGCTCGGTCAGTGTTTGCAGTCTGTCTCCAACATTGTTCAGATACCAATTCACCCGGGGACCAAGTTAGTCAACCTGATAATGCACAAAATTCCGACCAACCCCATACCTTTTCAGCTGTTTCTTGGAAAATTTCGGGGCCCTTGACTGTCTTCGGTAGCAAAGCATAGATCGAAGTTTAATTTTAAGGTTTCAAAGGCGACGCTGGTGGGGAGACAGGAGAACGACACTGCATTCCGCACTGGCATTTGAGAGCACAGCATTTTTTGTTGTGGCATTGTGTCATTGTGGATGCCTTCTAGCTGAACTTCCACAAGCTTGGCCAGCCCAGAAACAATGTTGAAGAGCAAACAGGGCTTCCACTTTTGTTTTCGGAGCCTCGCGTGGAGCTACTGTAGCTTGTACGGGGATGCCGCTTGAAAAAAAGCAACAGCAGCACCCTCAAATGCATTAGCCGGCAAACGCAATTTTCCTTTCCCCTCTGCTATCACAGCCGAAGGGCGACAAACCAATGGAAGCGGCGAAGATGCGCAAGGCCTCCACGAGGTTCACCTTGCACGTCTCAACAACAGCTAAATTACAGTATCAGCTGGGAAGCGAACATTGCACGAAGTCTCGCAGCCTCACTCAGTCAGGTGGCATTGCTCCCATATCTTGTTTTGCTGGCCGATTCCCTCCTGCCATGGCGCTGCTTGCCATGGTGCTTTCCATGGGAAGCCTGGTCTGACAGGAGGCTATAGGCCTCAGTAGAGCACTGCAAAGCGCATTCATGAAAATGCCGATGAGTCTGAGCTGCACCTCGCTCAACTCGATGAACTTTGCTTGAGCTTCTTCGGTTGGATTCTTATCCTTACTCCGGTGCTAAAGGCTCGCGGCTAGCCACGAGGCAACAAGCGCGACAGAAATTCTGCTGTGTCATGAACATCTGGATCTGCAGCAGCGCGGCCGGGTGCCACTTCCTGAGCATGGCTGCTTCTAAAGAACTGAGCATCTGCAGCGCTAGCACCTCTGTACTTTGGTGCTGCCAATGCTCAATGAGGCCTTCAAGTAGGCTTGCTTGATTTCACGCTGGCTGGCTGTTGGCTTCACACCGAGAACGTCATAAGGATCTCTCGCAAGACGTGCCTGCGCAGCAGCACGCAAATTGTGGAAAGGACTGCTCTTACAAGTGAGACTTTCAGATAATGCTCTGGCTACTTCTCCGAATTATGTAGGTTCTATTGGTGAGCAGACAATGACTGCCAGGAACATGTTCTTTGATGCGTAAACCTTTCTCGACCTTCAAGCAATGACTGAGCGAAGAGACTGTTGGCACTTTTGCTGGGGAAGACGAGGAAACCATCGACGTTTTGCAAATCCGCGGGTGCCGTGCTTCCACGCCGGGGCATTAACCCGCGGGACTAAACACTTCAAACCACACCCCTGCTGCAGAGCATTTGCATTGGGGAACATGCCCTGATCCCGCTGGAGGCTTGAGATAGTTGATTTCCCCAGCCGCGGGATTTGCTTTGTTTCGCGCTCGCCCTTCACCTGCTTGCTCGCTTCTAGGTGCTCAGGGGCTGACTCAACACCTTCGCTGCTTGTTTGCTCTGCAGGCGCAGCAGCTCGCTCACTCCTACGTTTATGGGAGAGACTAGGATTGCTGCCAGGAAGTGGGCAAAATTTTGGTTCAGCTCGGTTACTTGTAATTTGCTAATTAAATCTGTTTGCCTTTGAGCTACTCTGATTTTCAATGAAACGCCAGCTGCGGCTAAACAAATTCCTCCCACAACATTGCAGCGACTGATAGAGGCACTTGTAGCGCGCTTCTGCGGCAGATCCCGCTACAAGTTGTACATACACACGCATATATATATATACATATGTAGTTAGTATTCCATATATGTAGTATTCCATAATGGCTCTATATAAGCCCTTCTGTTTCTGAAATCCGGTAGGCACATAATTCTTGCTAGGCCATGCAAGAGCGAAAGCCAAACATCTCTTCCACTAAATTCAGACCTTCCAGCACCGTTTCCTCACCAAATTCTGCTAACCCTCTGAGGCTACATGACTCTCCGAGGTCCGAGCATCACCCTCTCTTCTCAGAAGTCTATGGCTCCAACAGCTGTACCTCTGTTATCCTCAAATTACTAGCTGCATGACTTCAGATTCTCTAAGAGGGCGGAGGCTTGGGGCGTTTAGATCCAGGTTCGGAGACTAGGAGAGTTACTCAACCCTCCCCCTACCCCCTTCCAGAGTATGGTGGAGAAAGGTTAGACAAGCAATGTTTGCCGCACGTCCCCCAAATGTTTTAGCTGTACCTGCATTCCCTGGCACGTTTACGAACGGGGCGGGAGTGGCGTGGAAGGATGTTGGTTGATGCTCGGTCCCGCGTTAGCGGTCAAATTATGTAAACTGTTGGAACCCAGGCCAGGGTCACCATTTCTGGTATCAACCCATTTCCCGGCCACACAAAGTTGGTTGCTGTAGTCTGTTTGTGAAGAGGAGGCTGATGATCCGGCAACATGTTGACTGTTGCATTTCGCGGCCTATAACCACTGCACAAAGACATTTGCTTCAAAGCGAAAGACTGCCAAAGCACATGTGGTGCCATACAGCGAGTCTGAAATTCTAAGCCCCCTCCTGACATGGTTTCTGTCGAGCACGCGTTTCAATGCCTTCTCATCTACTCTCAGTATGTAAACCCTTGCACCACCAAAGCTTGCTGCATGAATCTCTCTAACAAGCATGTGGGAGGCATGCAGCACCAGGACAAACAAAGCCTTCGTGCCTTGACGAGTGTTGCAAGGATAGCTGAGCACCACATCAAGCCATCATGTGGGCCACTTGCACAGGGAGGCTTGCATTATGATGTGAGCTGAAAAATTTGCTGGCTGGGTAGCGCACCGTGTACAAAGACTCCAAGCAGTTTGAACCGGGATGCAGAACATGCAGCATGCACTTTGGAAGTGCTTGTCACAAGAGCATGGGGACGTTTCGACACAGTGCAGCAAGTCTTGAGCGCATTGTTGAGGTCCACGCCTCGAGGTTGCATGATGACCTTGTAGCACCTGGCCATATGCAGAGATACAAGGAGAAGACAAAGCCTGCAGGACCGATCAGCAACCCTGCCAGTCGCCTGCAGTCTAGCTTCTCTGCGAACCGCTTCAGCAGCTCGTTACGACCTGACTGTCTGATCACATTTTCCAGAACTTCTGAAGCCCAAACGTCAACAAATAAAAGGATCCAGCGCGCCACCCTTGAAGCCACACGTCCGCACTCGAGGAAGCCCAGTAGCCCTGTGAACCTATGCTCAAGATGTGCAGTAGCAGCAGCAGCAGCAGCAGCAGCAGCGGCAGCAGACTGGGCATCCTACTCAGAAATGCGACCATTGGTTCCGTCTCTGCGCACTTGCACAAGCCTGGACTTTGGTCCATCGACATCCTGCTCACGGAGGTCGCTGCAACACATTCCCAATTGCGCCGCAAATGCGCTCCTTGCCGAACTCCTTGATGCTCTGCATCTTTTTGAACAAGTCCTCGCATTGGGTTGTGACAATGCCGGCCTCCCCGGCAGTCATCACCTGTGAAATGTGCTGCAGAGCTCAACATGCTTCTTTTACTAAGAACAGTTTGCACGCAAGAGGCCTTCGTAGGGAAGAAAGAAAACGCAGCGACATCTCCAATTGTACCTGCACAGGCAAGAGGCATCCAAGAGCTAAGGGTTCCCGGCTAGATGTATGCCTTCAGCTGACGCCTGCTTGCTCAGAATCCGAGAAGGCTGCAGTATGTGCATGAGCCGCATCCTTTGGGGCATTCTGGACGTCATGCCATGCTTCAATGCTTCAAGATTAACAACGGGGTTGTAACAGGAAGCACTGTAAGCACAAGGGCCTCAATTAGGGCCGCACCATTTTCTTGACATAGCTGTCGAATCTTCTGGAAATGCGGAGAAATGATTCCGGCAATGTGCCTTGGTCAAATACTCTCGTGGACTGCCATCCGCCAGGTGAAGCACATGCCAACCAAAAGGCACGAGAACCACAGCTGCAACGCTTCCAGGCGCGTGTTTTTTGAAAACAGCTTCCAAGCTCAGAGGGCAAACCTGAACCATGAACCGCTGCCACAGCCACCACAACCACCGGACAGCAAGCTGTGGCCTGCATGTACTCTGGCTCAATGTCAACCCACTCCTTAGATCTCAGAACAAGAAGCTATTTCAGCAAAAGGCCTCAAACACCCAAGTCAAGCCGCAAGGATCGCCCCAGCATTGGAGGCAGCTACTTGAGTAGCGAAGAAAGTGTTGCTGGGGATGATCACGACCTGCATTTGTGCACAAGGTTGAAGAGCAAAAAGATCATTCTGCTGAGGACTTCCAGCCACTTCCAACCTTGCCAGCAACCCCAATACCGCGCATTGCGATGTCCAATGCCATCGTACCTGACCTTAGCTTCCGGAATCATCGCATATCGCAGGGCTCCAGGCCCTTCCAGCAAGATTGCAAGCAGTCTTCCCCTCGCAAGCATGCTCTCACTACATCTTTCAGCCTTGGGAAAACTAGGCGCCGTTTTAGCGGCTCAGCATTGGAAAATCAGTCTTGCTTTGAAAGAGGCCTCCAGCTCATGCAAATTTTGCAGGTGCGCAGGATGCTCTATCTCGAGGCCAGATACTAAGTAATACCAGCTCTTCGCAAAAACTTCCCGCTGGCAATTCGCGCGGTTGCCATCTTGGATGGCGGGCCAATGGCGGGGGCAACCTTCAGCAGTTAACCATGGTTGGCTGGGCCACTGACGAGATGCGCGGAGGGCGTGGGAACTGAGACTGGAAGGCTGCAGGACTGAAGACTGCTTTTCCCGAATGCTGTCACAAGATAACTCGGGCTTCGAACGTGGTTGCCAGCGCAAACGGCGCGTGCACCAATTTGGCAAAGGCTCTTTCAAACGTCCTGCCAAGCACTGCTAACTTGTCAAAACTCTTCCTTGCCTAACACCGCATCACACTTGCATAAGCTTGTTCCGGTCCGAGTGAACTGATTCTCGCTCAGCGGCCGCCCGCTGCAAAGGATGTCCCGTGCCCCGGCAGTGAAAGCATCTACAAAGTCTGGCTCGAAGTTCAGCTGGAACATCGGCCTGGCCGGATGAGGCAACATGAGGCAACTACGGTGAACCTACCATCATCATCATCATCATCTCATGGCACAGCTGGGCACCACACACTGTGCGCACAGCGCAAGTTGATGCAGCAGCATCTGCAGGCCTGCCATACAAGCTTCCTGGGGTCTCCTCTTGTTTGGACTGGGGATACCCAGGTATCTCTACTCTTCCTTGCTGGTGCATGATGAATGGGAGCCCCATGAGCACCAACGAGGCGATGAATCTGACCCTGTGATTGCGTTGGGTTGAGCACCGAACCGCAGCGCACCAAAAAGACCAAACATGCCCACACAAGCGCAACTCGTTGCTTGCACCATCCGTTGCATCCATCCCATCGGTACCTCTTGTTGGACTACTTTCCACCTGCCCCCCTGCAATTCGATGGCTACACTGCTACACCTGTAGCTTTTTTTCCTCTGGGTAAGCAGGAAGTAAGTAGAGCCCCAAAACCTCCTCGAAGCTTCAAAACGCAGATAGCTTCAGAGCTGCAGTGGCTGCAAGATGTCTTTGAACCGCGGTGAATTGGCCTTGGCCTTCACCCCGTTGCTTGCCAATGCGGCACTGTTCTCCATTTTCCCTTCCCACTCGGAGCAGTTTCCTGATGTGACAGGCCCCGGCCTGGGCCTCCCTTCCAAACTCATTGGATTTTTTGCCCACCATGAGGGGCCTTCGGATCGAATTGAGCTGCGATGCTAACGCGGTGCTTCAGCCGGGGATGGGTGCCCACTTGAGCCAAGCTCTCCCTTTTCTGTCACTGCTCTGGGGTCTCTGGTCTTACAGACGTACTCTCAGTCTCCCTCTGCCCCTGTCCCTGAATTAGTGGCTGTGTAGCCGTTCTGGTGCCACTGCGCTAGACGTTGCAGAGCCGTGGCAGCTGGTGGGCGGAGCCCTTCCAGGTTGCCACGTTTCCTCACATGCTGGGGCATCTTCTCGAATTGCGCTGAGTTACCAATCACCAAGACCAAGCAGTCAAGGGGCGTCCCAAAAATCGACTGGAATGCCAAGAGCTCCCTGATCTCCGATTGAACGTAAAACCTCACCTGCGGCCACATCGCATTCTAAAGGACATGCCAGCCCCCCGTCAGCAAGCTGCCCACCTTTGTGCAGTGCACGAGCGACGACACACTTGATTTCGGCGTCAGCTCCTGCCAAGCACACTGTATCTGGTCACCACGTTGAAGACTACTTCAACGAGGAGACAGACATTAAAGGTGAAATCCTCGCACCCACAGCGAGTCCCCATTCATATCAAGCACCTCCACTTCACAGGCCCAGCAGTCCACTACCAATACGCAACAAACGGCAGAACCTCTCCAAGCTGTGCAGCTGCGAAGCGCTGCAGTCTTTCCCGAGCTGTAAGGAACTGATCCTGAGCTTGCAAAAATGCAGCTGCAGCTTCCCCACGAAAATGCATCTGAGGCGCTGCAGGATGCACCTGCAGAACAACTAAGCAAACCAATCGCATCCAATAGCTGAAAATGTTCTGCTGACAGCTCTTTGGGGCGGCCTGCTGGACAGTGAATCGGACCGCCTCATGGCTTGCAGAGGGGCAGAGAGTTAAGATCAGAAAGAGACAGTGAGTGAGAACGAGAGAGAGAGAGAGAGAGAGTGTCTCAGCAGTGGCCTCGCCATCTTCCCTGCAGAGCCGCAAGGCTTTGGCGTTCGGGTCGAGCTGCTGCGAGCGAGCGAAGCGTTGGATGAAGCTGCCTTGGCTGCTCAAAGTTTGAGAAACGTCCTGGTGACTCAGCCAAGCCCCTCGCCGCGCCAGTGCCAGGACACCCAGCCTTCGTTCGGAATTGCCAAGCCTTGGCTTTTTGATTCAATCTGCCGCAGCAGATTAAGTCGTTGACTCTTCGCATCACTCGGCATAGCAGCCCTGTTGATGTGCGCCAGCCCTCTGCGAAGCGCGCCATGTGCCCAGCATGGACATGTCCTTCAACAACTTTGAAGCAAGCCCAGCGGTTGATTCCACCGATGCCAAGCTCCAGACATAGTGGCCAGTGCGCAGTGCTTCGATCCAGTCGCACACCCGGCCGGCAGCACTAGCAGAAAGCCTCTGCGTGAAACGTCAAACGCCCCCCTACCCCACCCACCTTTAGAAAGATCTGCCTCTGCACCAACATCAGAACGCACCAAGTGCATCCAAAGCTCGCAGCCACTGCCTCCCATGCAGAGTCAGTTGCCCCCACATCCACAGTGCACATATCCACGATAGCGTCCTGGAACCACGCATTGAGAGCCACACGGCTGCCTATTGCAGGGATAATTTCCTTTCCGATGGCTTGTCCTCACTGATATAGCCTCAGAAAGGCAAGGCCCCCATGATGCCATGTGCAACGCTGCAATACCAAGGGCGCACACCCTGTCCAAAGAAGTGCTGTGGTCAAGTTGCTTGTCACGCCCAATGAGTAACCGCCCAGCAAGGCCAAAGATAGAGACGCGCCGGGCAATGCCAGAGCAGTCGTTACTCGAAAACCATCCGGCGCCAGACTCTCAGACAGAATTGCCTGAGAGCAACTAGTAACTGCAGCAAGCTCCCACGGCCGCCTGCCATGCCATGAACTCAACTCCCCTACCCCTATCGAACGCTATCAGCCTTTTCGATTTCCCAGATGCAAGTTGACCTGCAGCCTGGCTAGAATAAGAAGAAGAAAGTGACAAGTTGCCCGAGGCTCTCCGAATTGCAAGTTAAAGCCCGCATCAATCAGCATGTCCAAACGGAGCTCCTAGACATGCCCAAAGAAGTCCACATGGATCAATACCCAACCCCATGCTGAATGCCCTGAGCTGGTTCTGCAGTCCTCCAAACCAGGAGGGATATTTGCCAAGGAGAAGAAGTATGGCACTTCGATGTCGTGGCAGAGAGCGGACAGCTGTCTCTCGCTTTCATCGCGTTGTGGCCACACTTCGGCTGATTCCACCGCAACTAGCATCACCTCAAGACCTGCTTCTTGCAAGTGCCTGAGGTATGCCACGCTGTGAGCAGTCCCGCCGATAAGGCCAATGCGTGTGAAAGATCGCTTCTCAATCTCCGGAAGCAATGCAATCTTGATGACACCATCTGCGTATGAGGATGCCATCTCAAAGGCCGACTGAACCTTCCTGACAAAGGGCATGAAAGTAGGGATCTGGGCAAGTAGCAAGGTTGCTATTTGCAGTTGAAGTTCGAGAGTGGCAGCCGGTGCGTCAGCATAGCCAGACATTTTTCCCGCAGCTGCACCGAACTTGACAGCAGCTCAAGACAAGTGGCCAAGGTTTGGTTGGCCCGGCGTGCATTCAAAATGGTCAGCTCTTTGGTACGTGCCACATGCGGGTTGTACTGTAGAAAATCCACCTCTGGGATCCCAACTAGAACCACCTGTGCCGCATTGGCTGCCACCTGAGGGTACGCACAAAAGTGCAGAAGAGCACTGATGGCTATCCACGACTCGCAAGCAGCATCCGGACCTGCAAGGCCGCGTGGAAGCTCCTTGGACACATGTGCATCACATCGCCCACGAATAGAGCTGACCATGCCTAGTGAATCATTCACATGCAGGCGTCCCTTCTGTGCCGGCGCAGTCAAAGACGATCTCGCATCCCTTGCCAATGCTGGCCTTCAGATGCGCGGCGCAGCCATCGCTGGGCATGGCACTACTAGCCCCGAGACGGAGAGCAAAGCTCCTTCCTTAGCACTCACCCTCATGCTGGCCAGGGCATGACGCATACAAGCAGGTTCTCGGATGTTCTCGGCATTGCCAAGCATCGTTCCTCAAGCGGCTCAACCATGTGAACGTGACGGGCCCCGGCATGCTTCAGCAGCAGCAGGTGGCATAGCCCGATGGCCCCGGCACCCAAAATGCAGACGTCACCATCCAAGGCAAAGGACATGGCCTCAAATTGTAGAACTGCAGGTCACGCACTTGCAGAAAGCAGCTACCTCAAATGGCCTGAAAAGTGTCCAAAATGGCCGTCTGCGTTAACTTGAGCCTTGGCTAGACAGACAACAAAACGGGCATGGACAGTTCACAGCGAGTGCAGCGGAGTAACGAGTGCAGAGCCACCGAGAGCGGCTCCGCCAGCATTGCTAGCTCGAGGGGGACATGTGAAGGGATTCGGACCAGCTGAAGCGTGTTGACAGACACCTGGACACCCCGCCCTCTAGGGCTTTGTCCAAAAGCAGGAGGCTATTACTTTGCTCAGGCATCTGAAGCGCAGCTCTTGTTTTTAACCTCACTTTCGGGTCCGTGGACAAAGTTTGCTTTCACGCTGTGTGTAGAAACGAAGAAACGTGCAATTGACGTATGTGCTAAGGGACCGCCGCCAGTGTTGCCCTGTCCATCCAATATGTGACAGCGAGATTTTTTGAATCATCAGGCAAGGCCAAGAAATGCAACACAACATGCGAGATTTGCAAGGGCAAACGTTTGTCACAACGTATGACCGTGCATGTTTTGAAGGAGACCCACAAACAAACCGCCCGACCCATGGACGCTGTATGCAATCGAAGCTCAAAATTTGCAAAGCAGCCCGGAGTCTTGCCAGCACCCATGAAGGTGCCTCTTTCACATAGGTGCTGTTTGCCTGGCAGACGCAGTTTGCTGCGAATCGAATCAAGTAATCAAACAACTAATTTCTTACTTGCGTCGAGGACAAGCCCTGCCTTGCATGGACATCTTGGAGCTGAGACATGGGCAGTTTGGCACAACTGCCACGCGGTCGCCAACTGCCCAACCATCACAATTGTTTGCATCTGCAATCACGCCAGCCTCGGAAGACACGGTCACTTGTGAAGAGCAACCGGAGAAGGTCTCGGATGCCCTGATTTCCAATGTCAGCACGGCCCGCCCATCACCCGCGGCGGCAGCTTGCGCCTATTACACATTAAAAGAAAAAGTGCGACGGCCAACATCCCATGACCAGCCACAAAAGAGAACTTCACGTGTGACTAAGTAAATCCCTCCTGGATGCCTCCCAAAGTACTCAACCTTGGGCTCGGCTAGGAAAAATGCCCAATGCGTGCATGTGTCGGGCTTTTTTCCAGGACCCATTCAAACAAATTCATCCCAGCCGATATACTGAGTCAGGCCGGTGCCAGGGCCTGCAACGGAGGCTGCACTGTGACACGTGCACTCTCGCGGGGTCTACGCATTCCATGGCTTCCACGGAGCTTCTGCGGCGCAGCTTCCGCGAACTTCCAGCGAAGCATAGCGAAGCTTTCGATACCCATGTTGCACAAGTGCAATAGTTTGGAATGGATGGCCAAGCCATATCTTGACCTGACCCTACGCGGGATCCTCCACAAGAAAAACCCTCCGCAAACTTTTCCTCATCCTTGCACACGCAGTCCCTGACATCTTCGGACCTCACCAAGGACTGCGTCTGCGTTGGATGAAGCTGCCTCTGGCATCTGGAAAACCGAAAGCTGATGTGAATTTTTCCGGGATGTCCAACGCACCGGCGTGAAATGAGGACTCATGTCACACACGGTGCCTTACGTATTGCAGATACCCAAGGCTACGCTAGGGGCTTTTTTTCTAGGCCCAACGTCTGCGAGGGGCAATCATCGGTACAGTACCTCGTGGGTTTGTTTAGCCCTCGAGCTCAAGAAAAAAACTGACCACAACCAGACAATCTTTGGACGTGTGCCAAATCACTTCTGCCCGCCAAGCCTTTTCTTCGGGATTCGGCTTTAGGATATGACAGATTTGGGGTCTGAGCGGGTTGTCAGGCTGTGAACGATTTTGCGGCTTTCCGCTCCGGGTTTGATAGGCATGTGTGGTTGTAGGGTTCTCGCGGCTTAGGGGTATTAGGGTTTAGGGGCTGCGGGGTTTTGGTATTTTGGGGTTTGGGTGTCTTTAGGGTTTTGCTGCTTGCGTGGCCAGTACAGCATTTGCTTTCAGGCCTCTGGGCTTTGTGCGGCCCTTTGGCGCGAAAAGCCAAAGTCGAGAAGCCGAAAAGTCCACAAGTCAAAGGTTTACGAAATCACGAAGAATTGAAACCCAGAAAGTTCCAAAAAACATTTAACAGTCAAAATGTCCAAGGGCCCCGTAGAGTCAAAGCTGAAAAGTTGAAAACTCACCAAAAAATCGAATTGCCTTAAGCCTTAAAAAATCGAAAGATTCAAGGGTCCCGAAAAGTCGGCTAAAGTTGAAAAGCTTGAAAAGCCTGGGAGAATTCCCGTCTCGAGCCCAAAAATGCTGCAATCACAATTGCAACCTTTGCAAAAAACCACGCACGTGACACGGCGCTGGAGATGTTTTGCTTCGTGAGACATGTGGGACGTAAGGATGGCAAGGGGTTGCTACATAGTTTGTTGCATGTAGACAATAACTTGGACTCGTCTTACATACCCTAAACTGACACCTGAAAGCTGAAAGGTCAAGCGTTTCGACGGTTTGCGTGTGAAGTCGAAAATTGAATCTTTTGTCGAAAAGTAAGGATTCTTAGGTTGTTGTCCGAAAAGTCAAGAAGTGAATCTTGCTGCGAAAGACCATGATTTTAAGCCACAAATGAAAATATATGAACATATTGCGCTTTTGCACGAGCAACAACTTCTCTGCCACAATCACAAATACCGCTGACAACGCTGGCCAGAAAACATGGAAAAGTCCCCCCTACCGGCGGGCGCCGGCCCCGCTGCCTTCGTAACCAACAGCAACCGGCGGTGATAGCAAGAGCAACAGGAGCAGTAAGGAACAGGTCAAGAAGATTAGTCGGGATACACAGGCGTATAGGAGGGCCCGGAGAAACGGAGACGGACCCCGCGACGCACTCCTGTGCCCCTGTCCGTGAGTTCAACTTTTCTTGGCCCAGGCTCAAGGCGAGAATCCATGGGCATGATGCTTTTTGAGAGCAAAAATCCTTCCGTATGCTGGGGGAGAAGGTGCGAAAGCGCGTGCATTAATATGTAAACCTGCCTTGAGGCTGGCAGAGCATACCCCAATTGAGTAATTGTACTGATGACGCTCGCGCACTCCCCTCCCCTTGTGCGCGCCCCCCCTGTACGCGAGCACCATCACAAGTGGAGGTCAATTTCGCTGCTCAACTGCAGCTTGCGCATTCTTACGCCTCATTCAGCGTTTGATGCTGCTCAAACGGCCCTGAGTTTGTTCAAAAAATTGTACTTCTCGACTTTTCCGGCGGAAATTTCTGAAAGTTTCACTTTTCACTACCCAAGCCAGACCGTGCAAACTGTGCATTTTGCACTTTTTGCGCAGGCTTTTTGCACGTACTTCCAGCCTTTTGGAGGTTTTTGCAAAAGGCTCCTACACCATCGTTTCTCGCTTTTAACCTATGTGTAGATATGCTAGCTGTGAATTGTTGAAGAAAGGACAATGTGCAAACTAGCGCAAATAGAGGTGTTCGAAATGCCTCGGATGGTTTTGCATGGGTTTTAAAGCCTTCTTAATCCGACTTCAACCCAAAACGGGGTCCCGGTAGTGCTCCAGTTTGGGCTGAATTCGGCGCAATTCGGCGGAGACAAGACTCCGAGGCTAGAACCTTACACGACAACTTATGCCGTTTGGTCGATGTGTCTCGAGTTCCAGAGCTACGTAGCACAAATCTTTACCAAGTTGGTGGCCGTCTTCTAGATTTTGAAGGATTATTTCTTGCTCAGGGGGAGAATATACAGAGGTTTGCCCACGTGACTGTTCCCAACATGGATAAAGTATGAAGACGGGGAAGGGGTGGAGAGAGGGTTGGGGGAGGTTAATCTGCCACAGCTGGAGATCTAAGGCGTTTAAATCCAGCCCTCCCAGCAGTGACGGTTCGGGGAGCGTGTGGGGCGCGAGGGGCTGGGGAGCGGTGGGGGGTCGGGGGGGTCGGATCAAAAAAAGTGTAAAGCTTAAAAAACACACGCCCAGCGCATCAAAAGAACTTGCTAAGCATAAGAAACTTTTTGTACTAAGTTTAATACGGGCCAGGACAAAGGGCAAGCATCAAAAAAAAACACGTATTTTGTAGTAGTACTAATAGTAGTAGTAGTAGTAGTAGTAGTACTAGTAGTAGTAGTAATAATAGTAGTAGTAGTAGCAGTAGCAGTAGTAGCAGTAGTAGCAGTAGTAGTAGTAGTACTAGTAATTGTAATAGTGATAGCAACAGTCATGGTAGGGTAGTAGTGGTTGTACGAGTAGTAGTGGTTAATGCAACACATTAAAATAATGGAAAACATGTCAATTATGAAGCAACTGGAAAGATGAGCAAATGATGAAAAATCGTGAAAATCTGGAAATTGCGAAAAACATGTAAAATATGAAAACGCATGAACACAATGAAAAGTTAACAAATTTCACGGAAAATGACAATTCATGAAACATGAAAAGTAATGAGAAATGATGGAAGAAGGATGATAAATCAGAACCGTGATGAACATGATGAGAGAAGCATGGAAATATTGATAAATATTGAAAATGGTGACACATAACAATGCAAATAAGGAAACATGATGTAAATAATGAAAAATGATGAAAGCATGACAACAATGAAATATGACAAGTATGAAAGTGAAAAATAATGAGACATGATGAATGAAGAAACATGGTGAGATGATGAGAAAATCATGAAAATAATGATGGATGATGATAAATGGTGACACATGATGAAACATGATGAAACATCACGAAAAACAACGAAAATTGTGGAAACATAAGAAAATGGCAAAAATTGTGGAAGATAATGAAAACAACGAATAGATAAGGAGGAAACTGATGAAAAGTCATGTTGACAAAGGGAAATATGATAACCAATGCTCGCGTGAATGTGCTTTGTAAAATAACAGCGGGGGGTTGGGGGGGTGCTTTCTTCCGCCACGTTAATTTGGCAATGTGATGTGATTAACGATGAGAAGAGGATGAACATGATCAACAAAGATGGGAATGATGAAAATGTGTGAAATGTGAAACTCAATGAAACATGATGATGAATAATGAAAAATTATGAAAACTGATTCAAGATTCCGAGAAGCGATGAAACATGATGGAAAACGATGAAAAAGCATGGAAATCCCAGAAAATAATGACACAACGTGAAAATAGTGAGAAGTCATCACAATGATAACATGAAAGATGATAACAAATTTATGAACATCAGGAAAATAATGACAATTCATGCAAAACCACGAAACACGATGAACACGTAACGAAAAATCATGAACATGAAGGAACAATCCTGCAGACGAGGAAAACACTGGACAGTTGAAAGAAATCATGTAATGTCATGAAAATGATCCTGAACATGGTGAAAAATGTTGAGATTTATGAACATTGATGAAAACTGATGAAACATGATGAGCAATCCTTCCTTCCTTGCTTCCTTCCTTCCTTCTCTTGTTCCTGCCAGGGTATAGGGTCGAAGCCCAAGCATCAAACAAAAATTCCGGATTGGTGTACTCCCCAGGAAATTGGCAATGAGTTTTTTTTTGATGCTGAAAAAGTTGTGTTCGATGAATTTTGTTTGATGCTTATAAAGTTTTTTCAAGCCCCTATCCCGGTCGGGCGAGGGGAAGGCCTGCAAGCCGCATACGCGCGGCGCTTCACTGGGTTTTCGTAGAAGCCTAAGGCTCCCTGCAAAACGCAAGGGCTTCTTCTTCCAAAAACCGAACGGGTTTCCTTCCAGCTTCCACTCTGTCGTCTGCGCAGAACCCCAGCTTCAGCGCCTTCGAGGACCTTTCCATGCCTCCGCCTTCACCGGAAAGAATTGAAGCAAAAGCGCTGAGCCCCAAAGGCCCCGCGTATAAAAAAAAACAGAAAACACTAAAACCTCAACGGTCCCTTGAATGAAACATCCGAAATAAAAAACATGGAAGCCCATGTCCCGTGCAAGTTTGTAAAATGAGTTCAACGCACGCGACTTACTTACAAAAAGCCTAGATTCTTGCACGCTAGAAATTAGACTGTTTCTGGTGAGACTCACGCAAAAGCCAGGAGTTCAGCACAAATCGGCCTTAACATCCACAGCAGGTTGCCGAGAATACTAGTATTACTAACCTGTGACACAACAGCGTGTTTATCCTGAAGTCCCAGAGACAAACACCTCGGGGGTCCACAAGCAATTCAGAAAATCACGTCACAAGCGATGGGAGCTCTCATATGCGGTAACTTCTACCGGCTTTTTCCAGTTTGGGATCATCTGCCCAGCAACTGGCTCATGACCCATGTACATGGGCAGCGCAGTCTTGAAGGACCCCAACCCACCATGGCGAAAGTAGTGCCTCAGCACTACCATGCAAGACCAAGAACAGCCCCAAGTCTTACAACACCCGTGGAAGTCAAGTCGCAAGTCCGAACCACAAAGCCCAGCATGGGTAATTCGTACCAATACTTCTCCTGTCTCGAGCATGGGGACCTCCTCCTCGATCAGAGCCATCTTGCCTCGGGTGTGAAGGTGTGAAACACATCCCGAAACTTTCTCACTGCAGTACGAGGCATATGAGGCCCTAGCGCACATCTTGTAGTACTGCCACACGGTTTCTGGTGAGCATCTGGTAGGCAGTGGCAATGCAGTGCCATCACTTCAGACGGCTTCGTTGCCCGGAGGTTAACAGCAGCAGGAATTGGCTCAAGCGAAAAAACAGCACACATATGCAGGGAAACGAGGGGCAGCGTGCATATGGACCTGCGGTCCAGCTGTGCAGGTCGGGCTCAATGCAATGCTCCCAGCCTTTGCGCGCAGCGCACGCCTAATACAGTATCTCTGCGCACCTGTAATGCTCACAGGCTGAGAGCAGTTCAGGTGCAATAGCTTCGCCGATGACCACTGCAACTTCGGGCGACTGTCAGCCAGCAACTTGCACGCTGAATGATCATGTTACTTAGTTCTGCAGTCACTCACGCAACTGACAGCTGATTGCGGCTGAACCATTTGTTTTCTGAGCTAACTTGGTAGGCCGGCACTACCCCTGCGCCAACAAAATCCTGACAACATTCAGAGATCTTCAAAGCACAAGACTGCAAACACGATATCCGAGCTTTAAGAGCCTAGAAACAAAGAAACAAAGCGCGGTCGGCTTGTCCCCACTACTGTACAACAACTCAAGTGGGAGCTCGTGTGGGTGTACGAGCTCAATGCTTCAGCTCTACCACACCAAACAACAGATCACAAGCCAGCCATTTGCGTGCAAAGCTGCCCTCCAACGGTGCGTTGCTCCACTCCTGTACACGCTGACCTTGCAGCATCTTTCCAATCCCTTGTACGCAGGAGGCACTTACCTAGGCATAGCAGTGTGGTCCGAGCACACGCCCCGGGAAGAAAACTGGGCAATGCAGTTTTCACCGAAAGGAACAGGCGGTGCATTTGCGGCAGCCGGTCGCGGTCACTGGATGGTCCTCACAGGGGATGTGATGACCCGTTTGACCTAAAGCATGACAGAGTCTCTGATGTTCTGATGATCTTCGAGTCATCACGGCCAAGCCGCTGTCGGATCCAAGCCGCCTCTGAAACCAAGGTTCCCATCGCGGCCGTGTACCTGGCTGCCGGCTTGGCTCCCCAAGCTCCCCTCTCCTCCTGACATTTCTCGTTTTCGTTTGGCGCACTGGGCTTCCGCCAGGTCCAGCTGTTTCCGTAAAGACGCTGAAGAACTGGGAGGTGCCGAACACGCCAGCAGGAGTGCTACTTTACCACAGGTCACTAACCAAGCCTGTAATGTCCCCTAAATCCCAAACTTTCCACAATTCTGATCTGCACCTGTGCAGAGCGCCAAGCCGTGCCGCAACATCTTCGACACGGGACTCAGACTCTCGAAAGGTTTGGGCCAGATCCACATTCAGCCGCAAGGCCTTAGCTGCCAGACATCCCCAGCAGACAGAGGGCTAGGAAGGCCAGGCCAAGCCTCGCAAAGCTGCTTCTCGGCAGTTGCACACTCCGAGTGCCGCAGGGCCTCAGCATGTGCCTGACCGGGGCAGTCCGATGAACCGCGGCAAGGGAAAAATGCGGGTCAGTACTACTACTACTACTACTACTACTACTACTTTTGGAGGGCAGAACGTCCCCCCCACCTTTGAACTACTACTA